CAGACAAGATTCAGAGCTAAAGAAAAACTCACAAGAAAGAGAGTCAAAGTTCAGTCTTTGGCTCTGTGTCCAGTGACGCAGGCTTCTCTGACAGTTCTCTTACAGCTTCCAGGCACAGGCTCTACGTAGAGCACTAGCGAAACCACTTATAACTAACAATGACCTGTATCCAGGCCCTCTCCTCAGTTATATAACCAAACACAGAGCTGGCAACAGTAATTTATTATCACAAAACGAAGAAAGACACAAGGAGCATCTCATACTTGTAAGATTTGTATCATGGAGCAAACTGAAGAGAAGGATCGGAGCAAAGTCTCATCGCTACCAAACAGCTCTGCATCGCACGGCAGCCACAGGCTGTTTGTTCTTCCACTCCAGGAGCTTCCATTGAAACTACCCGTATCAGTTCCCTCCCTTTTACCCTCTAAAACCCGCCTTTCATTATGGCTTATCGTGCCATGGTTTTAGAGTCTGCACTTGACTGTTAGCCCCTTGAGGGCAACACCGACGTCAGGCACTTTCAATGCCCCGTGGCACCGAGCAGGTACCAGGACCGCAGGATGTTGGCCTGGACCGTGCAAACTAGAACCAAGCACAACTGAAGTCACCTGCAAGAAGCCAGTCACAGAGATTCTTTTCTCAAAAACCCACTTTCGTATTTTGAATTTCGTGTTTTCTGGGCTGACCTCCTGCAACGGTCAGTTCTGGTTTATTCCTTCCCCCCAAACTCATCAAACCAAATATACAGTATCTCCACATTTTCCTGCATGTAGATTATGCCCCAGTCAATTAAAAAAATTTTTAGACAGACAAAACCTCCATTATTTAGACATTGGAAAGGGGAAGAAGTATTAACTCTTTAAGAAGTGGCAAATAGTTCAGCGAGAATCATTATAAAATGTTGTGTTTCTTGTCTTCCAACAAGTAACACAAGAACACTGTTCAAAAACAGCAGCCAGCAGCTTCACACTGTCCCTTTCATAAGCCAATCTGCCTGTGAGGACCAAAACTCTTAACTTTTCTTTCTGACTCAGAGTCATGACTAATAACACACTATGCTGGAGAGGTGGCTATTATGGTGGTTGGAAAACAAAGGCACTAAAATATGTCTTCTTGAAAAAATTCATTTCAGCCTTTTTTGGTCATTTGCTTTTCTCTCATAAAATAAAGGAGGATGCTTGCTCCTAGTAATTCTCCCGGCCTTTTACTCCAGGACGTTCCTGTGCCAGAAATACATTTCACGTGGCCTGCCCTCCTCCCAGGATGCACAGAGGCTGGTTAATCCCCTGACAGCAGCTCCTATTTTCCAAAATGCAGCTGGCTCTGGATAGACCCATCTATTCCGTCTACGGGAATTTCTGCCTAAATGCCTTTAGCTTACACTGTTAGCTCAGCCTACACTCTCCATGACAGCAATGTCCTCTTTCAGTGGCTCCTAATTTTCCATGTTGCTTTACTAGAAATATTCCAGTTCACACACTCCTTCCTCTTCCAAACTACAGATTCTGTTTGGGAACTGTCCAGAATATGCAACGTGCAGAAACCTAGATTCAGAGCGAGTCGCACAGGATCACAAAGTCACCAGTAAGCAGAATCACTGATGGAAGAATCTACATTACAGATGTCCCACTCAAATCCTTTTCTGAACACAAAAACATAGTCTCCTTGACTACACTTGGGAGCTCCCGCTCAGGGACATGTTTGCAGGTCTGCCCCAGCACCAAGGAGACTGAAGGACTGCTCACTGATTGCTTCTAGGGAATTAAAAATATCCAGAACTGTCCTTTTAAAATCAAATCCTCAAAAATGAATAAAGACTCACTATTATTTGTTGGAGAGTTCCAGCACTATTTACCTACTCTATTAGCCATGAACTTATCAGACTTGGCCAGATCCAGAAATGATTTTATCTCACTCAAAGACTCCTAAATCTGAATCCATCTATCTGTTTCTGTAGATTCCGTATAGACGCCCAGGAGAACAAGTAGATTCTCATTATAAAACCGCACCCAAGTTTTGCCTAGTTAGCCTTATGAAAGAGGACACAAGGTTATAACATAACTTAGAATTCTCCACAGGGAAAGAGATCAAATCCCACCGTATTCATGACAACAAAAACCATGTGTCTACAGTTGCCCAAAGGCTGTGCATTGCAAAGTTGACCCCTGAACAGCACAGGTTTGAACTGCATGGATCCACTTATACATGGATTTTTAAAAATGTAATACAGGGGCGCCTGGGTGGCTCAGTCGGTTGAGCGGCCGACTTCGGCTCAGGTCATGATCTCGCGGTCCATGAGTTCAAGCCCCGCGTCCGGCTCTGTGCTGACAGCTCAGAGCCTGGAGCCCGTTTCAGATTCTGTGTCTTCCTCTCTCTGACCCTCCCCCATTCATGCTCTCTGTCTCAAAAATAAACATTAAAAAAAATTAAAAAAAAAATGTAATACAGTACTATACATGTATTTTCTTTCTTATGATTTTCTTAATACCTCTTTTCTCCAGCTTACTTTATCATAAGAATACAGTATATAATACATACATAACATACAAAATGTTTGCTAACTGATTATTTACATTATCGGTCGGGCTCCTGGTCAACAGGTTTTTAGCAGTTAAGTTTTTAGGTGGTCAAACGTTACACACAGATTAAAAAAACATTTTTTTAATGTTTATTTTTGAAAGAGAGTGCAAGTGGGGGAAGGGCAGAGAGAGAGAGGGAGAAACAGAATCTGAAGCAGACTCCAGGCTCCAAGCTGTTAGCACAGAGCCCGATGAGAGGCTCGAACTCACGAACCACGAGATCATGACCTGAACCGAAGTCAGATGCTCAACTGGCTGAGCCACCAGGCATCCCCCACACACAGATTTTTGACTGTGCCGGGGTGGGGGTGGGGGGGGTGGGGGGGGTGGCGCCCCCTGTTGTTCAAGGGTTAGCTGTACTTTGATATGAACGCAAAAGTAAGAATAATTCTTTAAATGATCTTGAAACATTGCTCTTTTGTCAGGGGAATGATAGAGCACTGGTCAATTACAATTTAACAATCCCATTTTCTCACAATTCCATTATTTCTCTATATTCCAGTAGGAATTCATTATAACTTATATTAGGTACAAAAAAAATGTTTTTTAAAATGAGGATAAATGAACAAAAGGAAAAGGAAAGGAGAACTAGAAATGTTCTCTATCCTGATCTGGGCGATGATTACAGGGGCATATACAAATATGAAAATTCACTGAGCAGTGTGCTGAAGGGTTGTACTTTTTTTTTTCACTATAAGCTATCTCTTGATTAAGAAGGGTTTTTTTTAGGGGCGCCAGGGTGGCTCAGTTGGTTAAGCATCTGACTTCGGCTCAGGTTATAATCTCACGGTTCATGAGTTTGAGCCCTGCATCAGGCTCTGTGCTGATGGCTCAGAGCCTAGAGCCTGCTTCCGATTCTGTGATCTCCCCTCCCCCACTCACTCTCTCTCTCCCTGTTGTTCAAAAAAGTAAACATTAAAAAAAAAAGGTTTTTTTTTAAAGGACATAGAAGAGGGGCGCCTGGGTGGCGCAGTCGGTTGAGCATCCGACTTCAGCCAGGTCACGATCTCACGGTCCGTGAGTTCGAGCCCCACGTCAGGCTGTGGGCTGATGGCTCAGAGCCTGGAGCCTGTTTCCGATTCTGTGTCTCCCTCTCTCTCTGCCCCTCCCCCGTTCATGCTCTGTCTCTCTCTGTCCCAAAAATAAATAAATGTTGAAAAAAAATTAAAAAAAAATAAAGGACATAGAAGAAAAATGAAAATCCACAGGTGAAGGTAGTATTTAAAATTCCTTAAATTTTCTTTTGTTCATTAAATAAGTATTTGTTCAGCACCCTGTTTTATTCCCGACACACTGCAAGATGCTGAGGCTAACACTGTAATTAAGACACAGTCATTGGACACAGCGTTCGTGATCTAAGAGTGGGGACAGGCAAGTAAACAAGAAATTATAATACAGTGTGTGGTGAGTATTATGACAAGAATAAGCACAGGGAGTTGGTACACATGGTCAGGTATCTAATTCACTTTCGGAGAACCAGAGTTCTTTTTGCCCATGAAAAATCTCACAGGTTGAAACACATCTCAAGTTTTTATTTTAAGGCTGAAAGACCCATCATTATTTTCTTTTTTAAAAGCACCACAAAATTAACTTTTTTGTTTTTCTCATGAGGTATACTAGAAGTTCAATCCTTTATGTCATCTCTAAGGTCACAGTCACTCACTAAAAATAAACATTAGCAGCGGTCACAATGATGCAGGCCATCAGGCTAGGAGCTTTTTAGGACGGTACACAAGGACTCTGAAGCAAACAAGATGTTCCCAAGTAAGTTACCACTCAGTTGACTTAAAGCTTTCTTTAAGGAAAGTGCTGCATGTGGCCACTCTTACTTAATGTTTAACCCCCTCCTCACATCAAAACAATTTCTTTAACTACTTAGTGTAACACAACAAGCTACCTGGAAAAAGTCTGTTCAAAAGGAAATAATTTAAATGCAAGGGGAAAACCGTGGTAAAGGTAAGAACAACTGGTTAGAAAACAACGAGAAATGAGCAAACCCTAGGAAAACGATGGCCGTTGCCCAGAGTCACAAGTACATGAAAGCAAGACCAGAGAGCCCTGAGAGAATGTGGCTAAGACTGCGGCAGCTGCACAAGTCAGAGCAGCGGCAGACTTATCCTCGTGTTACGGTGTTACGGCTACACCCCCACGACACGTGCTTGTGAACGACTCCAGGCTCTTCTCTCCGGAAAGCAGTCAAATTAATGAAGAACCTACAGGTTCTCGAGTCCAGGTTCTTGCCCCGACTCCACACGCTACCCAACAGAGACGTGGCTGGCAAAACCGTGCTCTTTGTAAATCTCAGGCAGATGAGCAGAAAACCCACACAAACGGTGTCCTGCCACGTAAGACGGGTCTGCTGGCGAGGGGACGCTCGCTCGGCGACTCAGATCAGCAACCGAAACACACCAGCTGCGTTACCTGTCGGCCTTCATCAGAAGGTTCGGCGGCAGCTCCAGGAGCTGGTTGTGCTGTACATCCAAGACCTCCACCGAGGTCCTTTCCAGCCTCTCAGGGAGCCTCGTCAGCTCATTGTGTCCCGCCAGTAGCTTCCGGAGAGCGCCGTTACAAAATAAGCTGCGCAAAAGGGGACAAGACAGAAGGAAACTTACTGAGAGCTAATTCGGGACAAAGAATAAAAAATGAACAGGAGTCGAATACTTAAAACAAGCTCTCCGAAGAAACAAATTCATCCAGAGCAACTGCAAATTCACATTACCATAAGTTCAAACTTGGAGCTCTTACATTTCAGTGTTTTCCATACTGCATGAATAAATAAGTAAATAAGAAAACCTATGAGCAGGAATATTTAACAAAGCAGCTCTACTTAGTGAAAGCGAAAAAACAAGTTTCATAGGAGATACCGAAGAGAACAGTCTACCCTTGTTAGACTCACTGGGCGAGCTTTAAAAGGTTGTAGGCTTCCCACGGTAGGCCTTGTTTCTCGTATTGCCCTGGAACACACGGGTGTTTTACCCACAACAGATTCTGAATAAATACAGTCGATCAATTTTTAACCATAGGATCCACATTAAATGAGGATTCTTCTATCCAATTAAACTTTTACAAATGCCAACAGATAAAATGTTACATTTTTCCTCATCTGCATTTCACAATCACAATTATTTCTCCGTTTCCTCACTCCCTTCTCTTTGGTTTAATCCTAGGCCGAACAGAGACCCTCTCCTAAAGAGAAGAAAACACACTTAATCCACTATTTTCTCTCGAGACTCAGAGAGCTGTTTGGAACCTTGGCTGTGTTTCTTCCATGGGTTATCAAAAACGGAAACAAATGTTGAATACTTTTTAATCAAGTACAAATCCGTTTCATGACCAATTCAGACTTCTCCAACAGTGGTAGAGAACAAAACGGGCCCCAGGGTCAAACACAGAAGTGTGGGGGCTGTGGGAAAGAGAAGTTATCATTTGCATCCAGGATCATCTGGAGTGAGAATTCATTTACACTGCTGTCAAAGAGTGAGGCTGCCTCACCCCACCTCCTGTCTTCTAGCACTCTGACCTCACTCACGGACGGCCAGAGCTGTTACAATCACTCCACATTACGGTATAACTTTATTCACTTAGAATCAAGCTAGATCCTTCGCTCACAAAGATGCAACCAACCTGTCTCAACGCTGTGACAGCAGAGGCCGCCACGAAAGGTGTGTGGCCTGCCCGACTTTGAAGATTTAGCTACCAGTGTAACAAGACAGGTTATCCAGGACTGCCATTCAGTCACAGCTACTACAGGGGGCAGTCTCTGTCATTCACCTGACACCAGTAATTCAGGACTTGGTTCACCATTTTTACTGTCTCACTGGGCCTGGGGTACAATTCAGGATTCTTAGAGGGTAGAATGTATAATTTATTACCACACACACACACACACACACACACACACACACTTACTTTACCCTTAAACAAATGAATATCTGAAGGACCGGTGAGAAAATCTTTATTTTGATTTTTCCAAATAAAGGAGATTTTATAACTACAGTATGAGTCTCAACTGCTAATTACTGGACTTAGCTAAATTCTTTTGGATACTATCTAAGCATTGTTTTCCTTTTAATACATTTCCACTTTTTAAATATTAATTTGTCTGGTGAAGTTCTTCACATACATGGCTTAGATAAACAAAGCTTGAATATCAAAGCAACTTCGAATGAATTGCTGTCTTGCCTGAATATTAGATCAATGATAGGGCTGATAGAAAGTGTGCCAGTAAACACCACAAATAGGAAAACAATACGTATTCTTTTTGTCCCACATATTACACACACTACATACACACACACACACACACACACACACACACACACACACACAGGCTGTTTAATTCCTTGACAATAGGGCATTTAGAATTTATTTTGAATAAACATCCATTTAGATCCCCCAAAAACATGACTAATGCAGATCCAATCAAGGATGAATTAACTTTGGAGAAAACTGGATACAATATCAGTTATCTTGTTTGTTTAATTGTTGGGTTTGTGTACAGAATGTTTTTTTGGAGCCTACCGTGAAACAGAGACCTTAAATGCCAATGTGCTATCTGTTAGATTGGGCGGGTCGAAGTGGGGAAGAGAACAGAGAAAACAGAAGAAAGGTAACATTGCAACATTTTTCCAACAAAATTTTCCCCCATTAGTAATAGCCTATTACGATTTTTGCTGTTTGTCTTCTGAAAGGGTCTGTCTCTCACACATATGCACACTGCTGTCCACAGGGCACTCCATCAAAATCATCTTGATAATGGAGATGGGCTACACAGGGTCACCTACATGCTCAGTCAACACAAAACTCTAAAGCAGAAAGCATTTTCAAATAGAACTGAAATTCCAGGTATAACATATGGCCAAGGAACAAAGTAAAATTAACTGAGCTTTCCAGGGATTGAAATGTAACCCAGATCTCTTTTATGAGATCTATATTCTAACAGCATTAACCAACAGAAATCTAATGCAAGCCACAAATGTCATTTAAAATGTTCTAGTAGTGACAGTAAAAAAGGTGAAAAGAAACAAATTCAGTCTTACATTTTATTTGTCCCAATATCTCTAAACTAATTATTTTAACATGTAACTGATATACAGTATTGAGATATTTTGCATCTGGTGTATATTTTATATGCAAGGACGAGGAACATTCTAAATCTCAATGGTCACATGTGACTAGTGCATACCATACTGGACAGAAGAGATATACACTCATATAAAAGATAAATAGCATTTTCATCATCACAGAAAATTCTATAGGATAACACTGGAATAGCCTACCTTTTGTTATTAATCCGTGGCTAGTCACTAATAGTCAATACTATTTTGTACTAGAATTAGTTCACCTGAAGGTATCTGTATCAATGGCCTTAGACATCATTACATGGCTGTTTTACAAATCTTGCCATTAAAATGAAAATTTACGAAATTTACATTAAGAGAAAAGAGAAGGAAAGAAAAGTCCTTGGACCTTTCTTTCATACCAAGAAAAAGAGAATCTAGTTTGCTCTTTCTAGGTTTAATGATCTAATAATCTTTTTTTCCAAGGTTATGTTTGAGGAAAACCAAAAATTATTTGTGGGGAAGGCAGGCATGTTAAGTCAACAGACAGAAGTGGAAGATTCTGAAAGAACTGAGATTACAGAGGTGAAGCAATCGTATTGTTGGCTGAGTTTTCAAACACAGCTTATTTAAAAACATCCCTAAGCACAGCCCTGCATGGCTCTGGAAAGCCGGGTTGACGAAGTCTCACTCTATCATCCACTGCATGAAGAAAGTTTGTAATTCAAAGACACCACAGGAGATAAAAGATATTAAAAATAAAGCTTTAAAACAAATTCTTGTAGGAGTTCACAATAATAAGCTAAATTACTTAAAAACTGCTGATCTAATTTGAGACCCTCTCACTTGATCTGTAATACTCACCGTGCAGGAAGTTCGCATATTTGATTATGACTAATATCCAAAACTTCCAGCTTTCGGCTTTCGCATACCCACTCAGGCACGTTTTCTAAGCAGTTCCTAAATATAAGAATATACAATTTTGTTGTTGTTGATTGGAATTTGGCCTAAAATATGGTTTGAAACTGTAAATAATTATGTAGAATAAAACTTTAAATGAAATGCCAAAGTATAGTGAGTATTAACCAAAAGGATATGTCTATTCACTTTATATTCACAAGATGAAGTGTGACAAGGAATAGGAAAAAAAGAAAAAGTAGAAAAGGACACAGCTACAGCATTTCTAAAGTCTTCAAAAAAAAAAGGGGGGGGTATGTGTTTCGGGATTGCTATCCTAAAAAGTTTATAAGCCCATGCAAGTTTAGCAAGAAGATGTCTTCTATTGGAAAAAACAAATGAACAAGTAAACATACACATTCTTTAAATTAAGTCAAATGGCATAAAATAGTCTTATTTTCCAATTTACTTTTTTTACACTTCCCATTTTTTAAATGCTTCTCTACTCTCATAGGTATCATGGGATCAGATAAAAGGAAAGAAATGACAGCAGAGAAAAGGCTCTTAAGAGTCAGAATTTGCATTTGAAAATATTAACTGAGGCATTACATGGCAATCATAATTACCAGTAACGAGTGAACTAAACTAATGCTGGCTTTCTTGTTAAATGAACCGACTACCTCTTAGACAAATCTACTACCATGAGTACCTCCCTAGTCATGGATTATTAGTAGCCTTTTCTCTTCTTTTTTAAATATGTGAAGCGACCGGACACAAAGAATGTAAAGTGCTATGTACATTATGAGCAGGTGAACAATTCCATGAAAAGATGATGCTTGGGATGGGACTGTATTAGAGCAAAAGTGAAAACAGTTGGGATTATTAAAGGTGGTGGCCTTGTGTGTGACTTAAAAATAATGCTCTTTAATTTTTCAAGAATACTACCTTTTCAACTAAAATACAGAAAAGGTGGCATTGTTTTCTGCTCAGTGTTTGAAGGCCAGAAGACACAATTTGTTTATTTTACTATAGTTAACCCCTACAACATCTTCCCAGGACAGGAGAGTGAAAGTCCCTCTCGCTGTAAAGAACCTCATTATACAGCAATAAGACTCACAGAAGTGACAAACATAACCAGGGACTTTGCTCTGGAGGACCTAGTAAACACCATGAGGGGGGACAGCTCAGTTCCCGTACCTGACATGAATACAGAAGAGGAGGAAGTGAAAGACTCAGAGTTACGTCAGGGGAATCAGGTTCTCCAAGAGCAAGTCCGATAGTTGGGGAGGTGAATGAGGCAGAGTGTGTTATAGTGAAGGTCTGGACATAAGAGTTATAAACAAGACGAACAGCATTTAAGGGACAGAATTCAGGGAAAAGCAAGACAGGGTTTCCAATTCAGTCTCACTCAGGGGTTTTAATGGGAACCATTTGCTAATTACGTCCTGCAAACAAAGGGTAAATAGATTTACTCCGACTCTCTTACAATACATCTGTTCAAGATATTTATATACACTCATGCATGCAAACCCCACTCTAGTACCATTCTCATTTAAAAGTTAATGCAGCAGTCAAGATTGGTAGGAAAAAATAACAATTTAATCATGCAATAATCTGACTAAAAGTTTTATTAAACAAACCCGACATGAATTTAGTAGAAAAAATGCACATAGCACTACTCATAAAGTAGTTTATAATTACAAATTTATGATAAAATTGTAATTGTAATAAATCTGACACTTTCTTACATAATTCTGATTGAGAACCTTATTAAACTAACTAGGTTTGTGTATTTTCATGACGAAAGGCAAATTCTGCACCTGAGCAATTACATGGCAGCTGTATCGGATTTTATACACTAAAATGAATTAGCACTTGGTGAGCGGGTCATGTACTGTGGCTATTCAGAAAGTTTTCCTTTTTCCCTTTTTTCTTTTTTTTTAATGTTTATTTTTGAGAGAGAGACAGAGAGAAGGAGGGAGGGAGGCAAGGAGGATGAGTGGGGGAGGGGCAGAGAGAGGAGAGACAGAATACAAAGCAGGCTCTAGGCTCTGAGCTATCAGCACAGAGCCTGATGTGGGGCTTGAATTCACAGACCACAAGATCATGACCTGAGCTGAAGTCGAACACTTAACTGACTGAGCCACACAGGCTCCTCTATTCAGAAAATTTTGGATATTTCCTTTGGAATTATGTTAAAAGTAAATTTCAATTTTAGTGTGTTAAGATTATTAAAGTCTAATTTGTATACATACATGTTTTATGCCTTCTGGAAAAAGTCTACTATAATATTTGTGGGAACTGGGGTCAACATGACACATTGCAGTAGTGAATTTGTATAAAAGGTGAGATGGTCTGCCGTTTGCAAATGAGCTAAGTAAGCAGGCTGTATGGAAATCCTACCTTGGGAGGCTTAGTTGCTAAGATGTAGGTACACAGTAACAGAGGGAAGGAAAAAAAAAAATCAAAGAAACATAGCACAATATTTTAAAAAATGAAATTAACATAATTTCAGCGAAAGACAGAAGATATGGTTAATATAATTAAAGAACTTCTAGACCTTCCAGCCATAGAGCTTCAACTCACTAATCTTTCAGGCCCAAACATGGTGGTCAAATTGGGTCCATAGGGACCTAATACCTTGATTCTTCTATTTTTTAGGTATACTTCACAAATATTATTTTAACTGACAGATATTTAGTAAAACTATTGAATTTAATTTGTAATACTTACAGTCAAAATATATAAAAAGTTTTTAGGCATAAGCTCAGACAGGATCATCTAAATAGTTTTCAAGCAGCCTCTAGAGTGCTCTAGGACTTGGCTTCTTACCTTGAAACATCCATGTAGGACAGATAATTTGGAACTGGGTAAACATCCAGTTGTACAAGTTCTAGGAGGCAGGAAAAAAAACCACAAAGACATTACCATTCAAGTCACACAGAGACTCTTTTTGTATACAGAACATCATTACTGCGCTTTATTCTCCATTGTTTACATTAGGAAGTACAATACATCCATTTGTTAAACTTGGAAACTACAGGAAAGTACAGAGAACTTCCAATTTAATCACAAGATCTTATTCAGAGAATGAAATAAACCACTCGTTCTATTTTCCTACCTTTTCCCCAGCCACTTACTGTGGTTCTCCTCTTGTTATGCATGCTGAATGTTTACCTAGAAGATTAACTTTTAACATTTAGATTTCCTTTCGGAAAACCAAATGCATCTGGCTTCTACCTTCTGCATTCTACTGAAACAGCGCTCTTAAGGGTCACCGATGACTTCCTCTACTCAAATCGGAAAACCCTTCCTCCAAACTGTATGAAATGTGATACCACCATCTACCTAGGGCTTTGTTTCCCAGAGTAGTTTCTAGATGTCCTTCTGCTTCTCCAGACACTTACTGTGTGGTTCACAAGTTCAGCACCTGTCTGACACCAGCTGTGAGCGCTTTGTAAGTCTGCTGTTGGTGCCAGCTCCCTTCTCTTTCCCAGTTACCTTACTTCCACAGTCCCAGGTACCACCTCTAAACAGATGAGTTTCAAATCAACATCTGTAGTCTTGACTGCAAGTTCCCATTTGCTCCCAGGAAAACCACTCCACTGACGGGGATCGGCAGGGTGGTGAGGACTCCACTCTTCTCCCATAAATACACTCTGTACTCTACTCTCATGGGAACAGTCTTACGGCATCCATCATGTGTCCCTCCTCTTAAGAATCTCCACGGGTTCTTACAGCTTACTGCACAAGCTTCAAAGCCATGCGTCCCATAATTACTTCTTACCATTTTCTAGCAGGCACCTAGGAGTTCAGCATTCCCTGTCTTCTCCCATCTGCCGAACAGACCACATTCAGATTCCTTCCTCTTCCACACCCACTTTGTGCCTTCTGGCTATCCAAATCCTATAACCATTCAGTGATGGAGACCTATCGCTATTTGAGGTTTAGCCGGTTTTTCCAGTGAGATGACAATAATTAACTCATTTCGAAAATAAAATCCCCTATCCTTGAGGACTCCTGCACAGCACGATGCATAGAACAGGTGCTTGATAAACACTGTTCAACTTGGAGTACTAAATACTAGTTTTCACTCAGGTTTCTGATTGCAGGGAATCAAAATCCTCCTGTTAGCAAATTTATGTCCATATGATCTTTTCTTTTTTAGAAATGTCATGATTTCTAGATTCTGAAGAAGAGACCTCATTAAATGAGTAAGACTCTTGACTTGTGGTGTCCCTGTGGGTATATAATTCAGGTCTCTCTTAAGATTAGCTCCTTTGTTAGTGAAACATGAAATCTGAGACCCTGAATAGAGTCCAGAATGGACCTTCCTTTCATTTTTACTCTCCAATATTAAATCACAGTTCCAGATTTACTATCCTAACAAGGTAGTCCAAGAAATAGTTTATTAAGGCCCGTTAAGCAGAGGAGCCAAATCAAAAGTGGGAGTAAGTTACCTAAGTACTACAATATGACAAAAACAAATTCGAAACTATAAAATCTCCTGTTTTGATTCCTTTAAATACCATGCCAGCATTCTGCTTTTATTATTTTTATCGCAGCAAAATTTGACACTTATTTTAGTAAATGGGCAAAGTAAAATCAAAGCGAGACATCATCACATCAAAGCAATGATGTTGCTGAGTAAATTCTTGGAACCAAAAGAGAAACTTTGATGTGGTGTATGTTACATACCGTTAGAAGAGGCGTAGAGTGCTTTTAGGAAGTAGCCACAGATGTTTAATGTCACCAGCTGATTCCTTTCACAGTGCAAAACTTCAATGTTGTTGAAAATCATAGCATCGAGGTCACCAAGCTTATTGTCGCGCAGATCAAGCTGAGTGACGTGCTGGAGAAAGTCCACTTCGTCTGCTATTAGCTTCCTAATTATGTTCAGTCTTGAAGAGAAAGGCCACAAACAGAGACTCTAATTAACCGCAATGCTAGAAACAAATGGCCACACCCTGATACGGTGAGCTAAGGAGAAGGGATGCACGCCTCACTATGTTACAGTCTTCCATCATTTCTTACATCTCTGCATCTGGACTTCCTTAACTGGCTAGATTCTTTGGCTATTTTTAGCGACAACTCCAGGAAGGTCTTAATCTTGGCAATATATTCTGAAACACACTTTGGACCACTTAGGCTGGAAGAGAATCACGCACATTGATTTTACCTTAATTCATTGCAAGAGGGAAAAAAAAATCCACTTAATCATTTATTTCCACAGAATTTGATTGAAAGAACACAAGAAACACAACCCAGACCAACCCATTAGGCACATTACAACTAGAGTGAATGTTTAAGGAAGGAGAAAGGATTCGTGAGCAGGGAGGTGAGCAGAATTTAAGGGAGAAGGCAGGAGGGGCGGGTGTGTGTGTGTGTGTGTGTGTGTGGAAATGAATGGGAGCCACATATGCACCAGAGATGAAAATGCAAACATCTGGATTTCTGGCTGGCTTAGACCGAGGACTGATTACCAAAACTATCTCCATCATTAAAATATTGCTTGAAAGAGCAAAGCACAGAAAATACTGACATTTGGCATCTAGGATTTGCTGAGAAATTAGAAAACAAAGGACGACAAATCTAGGACAGAGCAAGGCACAGGGGAAAACTGGCAGAACCTCCGCCAGGAGAACCAGCTAGCTGACAGACTGAGGTGGCCACAGATGAGATGCTCCCAAGAAGATACGGAAGTAGTAACGGGGACTAGGAATCAGTAGAATGAAGACACACTTAACTTCAAAAGGGAGAAAAAGAGACGGAAATCTCAATTCCTAGTCTGCTAGGCTACCCCCAACTCCTTTACCAACCAACAAACAAGAACCCTGCACTTCTCATAACAAAGTGCTGAAATAATGCACATGGGCTACAACAGCATTAACAGGAGGGCTGGAGCTTAGGAAAAAGCTAAAGCCTCCTGGCTGTGAATTTCTGCCCTTTGAAAACATAAAATAAAATGATGAAAACGGAATTATTACTAGCAATATCATAAAGTCACTGGAACACAAGGATGAGTGACAGACAGCAAAGAGCTGGGATCTGTCAATCTGTAAGCATAGCATATGGCCTCTTTAAGTGTCCCCAACAGGATTTGTTTTTTGCTTTTCTTTTTTTATTCCAGGTTGTAAGATTTAAAAACTGGCCTCAACCCAGCAATTTGCCTATTTCCAAATGCTCAGGAGATTACTAGACTATGTACACAGAATTTTTTAAAAAGTCTCATTTTGGATACAACAGACTGTAGGAGTTGAAAAAAAAGGTCCCATGTTCTTCCTAATTTACACTGTAAGTAACTTTCTTAATGTGGCATCATCATCTTCATTTGAAAGAGCTCCCTCCTGTAATTTCATGTATTAACACTAAAATAATTAAAGGGTTTATTTAATGAGGCAAAAGAAAATCTATAACGAGAGGGAAATGTTCAGTTAAAATTGCCAAGTCTTACCAGGATTCAAATATCAAAAGTTTCCAGGCTCACACAATAATATAAATATTTAGGGGGCGCCTGGGTGGTGCAGTCAGTTAAGCGTCCGACTTCAGCCAGGTCACGATCTCGCGCTCCGTGAGTTCGAGCCCCGCGTGTTCGAGCCCCGCGTGAGGCTCTGGGCTGATGGCTCAGAGCCTGGAGCCTGTTTCCGATTCTGTGTCTCCCTCTCTCTCTGCCCCTCCCCCGTTCATGCTCTGTCTCTCTCTGTCCCAAAAATGAATAAACGTTGAAAAAAAAAATTTAAAAAAAAAATAATATAATTATTTAGGATGAACTTTCAAAGAGGCAAAATGTGATTAAAATTTCCTTTCAATAATCCCCTCAGCTAACACAGCCATTTTATTTATTTCATAAACATTCACTGAGATTTACTTTGTGTAGATAGGTAGTGTGAAACAGCATCATATTCTAGTTCCTGTTTGCTGCTCATTACATAGGACCTTGAACAAGTCACTTTATAATTCTGGTTAAGCCTAATTCTAATCTGTAAAATGGGGATTGCACCTTACTTGTCCTACGAGGCAGCTGAGAAAGTCAAATGAATGTATGTGCCCATAGTTTGCAAACAGTGAAAGGTACGGTGGTGATTAGCATGGTGACCTATGGCTTGGGTCACTATGAGATGAATGAAACAAGGTGTCTGTCAAGAGATTTAGTACTTAAGCGAGGAAAATCATATGCTTTAAAATACAAAGACTATAAGTATGTGACGAGCGCCATAACCGACACATGAAACACACAGAATGGTCAGCAAAGATGCAACCCAGGATGAAGCACCTCATCCGAATGGCAAGGGGAGGCAGAATTTCACAGATGTAAGTGGGCAAAGAAAGCAGTGCACGAGTTAGGGCAGAATGGCCTCTGGACTGAAGAGAAGAGCGCGGGAGAGCAGGGCATTCGAGAGGCCGCAAGGTCGGGTTCGTCAATTAAAGTACCAACCAAGTGCTAACACTGGCTAACAAGGATAAAGCACAGCAGTGCTGCTTGGTTATCTGTGGCGAAGGAGCTCTGTTCTAGACACCAAGAATGACAGCTGAGTTCCATGAGGAGGAAGGCGTCCTCAATCAGGTAAGATAACGACACAAAAGACATTGGGAGCAGGAGGCATTTAACTCAATTCCTTCCCAAACGCTACGATTTAGCTTCTGTTACTAACTATAATTTAGAGATGAGAACACAGCTGCCCAGAGAGATTAAGTATCTTGCCCAAGATCTATCACGATGACTATGTGGTCATCGACCTCTGGACAATGGGGGGATTAATTTGGCTGAAAAAAGCATGAAATTGGGCAAATTAGTATGAGACCTCTAAGCCTGATATGCTGCTTTACAGGAGCTCAGTCCCATGACAGGCTTTTGTTTTTCCTTAAGAAAGAGAAATTTAGAACAGATCCCTCCTCGTATACCGGTTCTTTGTATATTAGACACGAAAACTGATCCTCACGTACTAAAGGACGATTGAATCTTTAACGTGGCAAGGACCGTGCTGGTGGGTTTTGGTTGGAGTTGCGCACGATCAGGATTCAAAATGCAGGTTCCTTGCTCTTGCAAGGGGTGAGAGTGGAGGTTCTAGTCAAACTTGGGCCTAACGAGGGATTATGAGTTTTATATTTTTGTAAAGAACAATAAACTAAGGGCAGAGCCACCTGGACAGAAAAATGGGAAATTAAAATAAATAAGTTAAACAAATTAATTTAATGAAATCATTATATTACATTAGGGAAATCAAGGAAGGAAAAAAAATAAGGAGATGCTCAATGGTATTAGCTCTCTCTCGCCACAGAAAAGGAGGACAAAGAGAAAAAACATCCACTTTGCTCTCCATGACAGGGTCTTCATTCACCAGAAACTGCAAACAACCAACCAGCTTGCTTGAGAATCTCACCCCAACAGCTCTGACCCACTCCCAGATCTAAGCCAACTACTTATAAATAGGATAGATTTCTTAAAATTAGTTACCTCAGATCCACATGTTTAATGTGAGGCATTCTTCTTAAAGCCTGTAGCCGCAGGGTTTCCATACAGTTTCCAGACATACAAAGTTTATCCACAGCAGTCAATTTCTCCAAAACCTCTGGAATGTCAGTGAATTCATTAAAAGAAAGACCAAGATAACTGAGCTGGTGCATATTCTCCAACTCAGGAGGAAGGGCCTGGAGAAAGTTTCCATCCAACAAAAATGTCTGTAGGCTGTTAAAGAAAACAGAATAAGGAAGAGAACGTGTAAATTTTACATGTTTATTATCAACATACCAGTTCCACAGGTATAGATCATATTATTAGAAAAAGAAAATGAACTAGATCTTTTGCAAAATGCATAAGGGCAGCGCCTGAGGCAGTAATATACCAGACAGAAAAGATCAGAGAGAAGTATCTTAATCTTTTATTGAAAACCAAAATATGACCAATCTCCCTAACTTGGACAGGCACAAATAGGAACAACGTGAGCTACATGCAGTGCGAATCAGCCCAAATACCCATCTTTCGTTGTTATTTTAAATTCTTAGAACTCAACAGAAGTCAGAAAAAGAGAAAGTAAGCCCTTGTCCCATGAGTAGGCACACTCATCTGTGGGGCTCTTCAGTTCTAAACAAGGATATTTTAATATTTTACGACTCTAAAGAGTGTAAAAGCTAAGACATGAACTCTGCCCAACACCCTGCTCTCTGGATTTGGGGTCAAGACTGACACGCCCAACATAACTGGTTGGCTAATCTCACGTGCTGCAGCTCGATGCAGCTTCCCGGGGGTTTCCGAGGGATACAGTGTGGTGGGGCTTAAAGGACGCACTTGTGTAGGGGCGCCTGGGTGGCTCGGTCAGTTGAGCGTCCGACTTCAGCTCAGGTCATGATCTCGTGGTTCATGAGTTCAAGCCCCACAACAGGCTCTGTGCTGACAGCTCAGAGCTGGAGCCTGCTTCGGATTCTGTGTCTCCCTCTCTCTCTGCCCCTCCCCTGCTCTTCCTCTGTCTCTCTCTCAAAAATAAAGATTAAAAAAGAAAAAAGAAGTACACACTTGTGCATAACTCGGACGGCTGCTGGGACTGCTCGAAGGGCGTTGCAGGACACATTCAACTCAGTCAGGGTTGGAATACTGCAGACAGCTAATGGGAATTCCCCTAAGTGGTTATTGGAAAGGTTAAGACTCTTCAACTTGGTGAACCTATCACAACGAAACAAAAGGAAAGAAAAGACAAATGTCACAGATGCATAACGTCACATAATTTTAGCACAGGTCATCTAATCCAATTCAACGGAGGAGGAAACATGCCCTCAGAGGTCAAGTGCACAGCAGAGCTGAGTGTACCTCTTCAGACTCTAAGGCCAGTGTTCCACCTAAAATATATACATTATATTTAAAAACTAATTTGGGGCGCCTGGGTGGCTCAGGTGGTTAAGTGTCTGACTTTGGCTCAGGTCATGATCTCGCGGTTGGTGGGTTCGAGCCCCATGTCGGGCTCTGTGCTGACAGCTAGGAGCCTGCAGCCTGCTTCCGATTCTGTCTCCCTCTCTCTCTGCCCCTCCCCTGCTTGTGCTCTGTCTCTCTGAAAAATAACTAAACATTAAAACAAAACCCAAAATAAAAACAAACTCGTCAGTCTAGAATGACACTGAATGCGTGAAGAGGTGAGTTCTGCTGGAGTAAGTTTTCTAGCTCTTCCTGGGCCAGCTTCATTAACACACCAGTAAGTGATGATGGAGAGAGGGAAGGGACTTGCAGTCTTGCCTTTCTTAAGTTGTGTTATCCCACACAAGCAAAAAACCTTTCCATTTCACTTCTCCCCAAATACACACCTGCAATAAAAAATTAATGTATCGAAACTACACACTCTCTCGGGAAACCTAGTTCCATAGTTCCCAATTTAAGGACCAATTACCATTCTTCAATCTCAGGCCAACACTGGATACTGCTAACCACACACCCCTTCCTGAAAAGCCCTTCTCATTTCACTTGCAGGACATTTTCCTCACCCGGTCTCTTCCAACACTCTCCAAATCCTTCCTCCTGGGTTGCCTTCTTTCTTCTTCTTCATCTCCTCTTCCCCACCCCAAGGGTAAATAGTGCTCACAGAGCTGTTGTCAGTTTCTTCCCTCTCTCTACCTTGCCCTCCTCAGAAATCATTTCACTGCTCTGGGAGGAGCTCTCTCTAACCCACCACAGCCATCTCCTGTCTCCTGAGCTACCCTGCCACATTTCCAGTGGAAACTCAACTGCCTGTCTGTCTCCCAGACCAGCACTTCTCCTATTCCATTTTTGTGAATGGCTCTTTCATTTTCTCAATTGTCCAAGCAATTAACTCATCTTGAAGTTTTAACTTGTCCGTGTTTGAAACCTGTTGGCCCACTGCCAACCTCTCCATTTTTTTATTTGAGATGAGAATCAGATTAGTTATTGCAATTATGCCGATTACTCATAAAACCACCCAAGACTAAATATGGGGCAGAACGTACAATGCCTAGAACAGACACACACATCTTAAAAATAAATCCAGTTCAATCCAATCAGCATTTTAAGGAAATTGTCATGTGACTTATCTGCTGAAGTCTATGATAAAAAATACTAAGCTTTGTCTTAGGTAGCAACATAAAGTTTATTCTAAACAGAAATGTGACACAGGGCCTCTTTGACAGGTTAAAAGTGTTACGTTGATTTTTCTTTTATAATAGCTGTTTCCTTAAATGGCAGAGTATAGACCTAATAGTATGTCAATTAAAAAAAAAACAAAAAACTTATCCTCTATTCTGATTAAATTATCCATGATCTATACTCTACAAGCTAGAATCACAGGTTCTATTGTTCTTAGTTCAGAGGTTCTCAATGGCTGGAGGACCCTGGAAGAGGACCCTGAGACCCTTTCAAGACATTACCAAGGTCAGAAGTACCTTATAACGATACTAAGACGCTACTTGTCTTTTGCCATTCTCCTTTTCCAGTGGAGATTTCCAGACGGTACAGGTCTTTGTGATAGTGCACCTGACTGGATGCAGAAACAGGAGAATCCAACGATCTTCTATTAAGCTAGACATTAAAATGTTTACAACAATATAACACAATGACACTCTTCTACCTTTTCCCCCCTAAAATAGTTACTTTTCATAAAAAAACATGTATGTTAACAAGAATGGGTTTATTATTTTTCTAAAGAATATATATTATTTCTCAGTTTAAGTTTGTAATGTTGTAAATATCAATAGACTTAATCCACATAAATAAAAACTCTTCAATTTTTGAGAGGGTAAAGGAGTCTTAAAATATGGTTGCCAGATAAAATACAGAACGCCCAGTTAAATAAGAACTTCAGATCAATAAGTGTTTAGTGTCACGTATGCCCCAAATATTTCACAGGGCATACTTATAAAAAAAAAAAAAAATTGTTGTTGTTGTTTTTCTGAAATTCAAATTTAACTGGGGTGCCTTTTTTTTTTCCCTTCTAAATCTGCCGACTCTATCCTGAAATAGATGAAAGTGCTGTTCTAGTCCAAACAAAAACAGTATCCTACTTTCTAGATATGATTCCTCATTTGGTAGAACTGGCCACAGTTTAAAAATACACATGCAATTAAACTGAACCTAAAAAAAAAAAAAAAGTCCCTCTAGGAAGGAAAAAGACCCACTAAGACATTATCCAACACAATGGAGTACAAAGGCTTTTCAGAAAGTAGGGATGGGGGCGCCTGGGTGGCGCAGTCGGTTAAGCGTCCGACTTCAGCCAGGTCACAATCTCGCAGTCCGGGAGTTCGAGCCCCGCGTCAGGCTCTGGGCTGATGGCTTAGAGCCTGGAGCCTGTTTCGGATTCTGTGTCTCCCTCTCTCTCTGCCCCTCCCCCGTTCATGCTCTGTCTCTCTCTGTACCAAAAATAAATAAACGTTGGAAAAAAAAAAAAAAAAGAAAGTAGGGATGAAGTGATTACAGTTCCAGTACTTATGACTTAGAAAAGTATTAGTCAATAACATGGGGGGAAGGGTGGGGAGGTGTATTCATCTTTACAAACAAATTTACTAGAACCACAGCACTTCTGACAACAAAGGAAAGCAGCAGTGAGTTGAATGAGTACAAGGCAGTTGACAAGCTTAAATGGAAAAAGAGAGAAACAAAAATAAAAAACTCCTAACAAGTACCCTCCATCGTCTTAGGTATATATATTTGCATTTCAAAATTGGTGCCAGCTCTAGCTACAAAGTGCAATTCTTCTTTGCATCAATTCAATGATAAAAACTACCAGACCTCATGATAAAGAGAACCGCCTTCAGTCCCGGGGACCAAGCACGCACCCCCCCTCCCCCAGCCCCAGAACAAGGAGTCTCCACATCCAATAAAACAGCAATAGTAATAGGTAACCACTGAGCACCTGAAATGGCTGGTCCCAGTGGAGATGTTCTCCAAGTATAAATACACTGAAAAGAACATAAACTAGTTAATAATTTTTAGAACAGATAGTAATTTTGAAATACTAGATTAGATAACATTATTAAAATTAATTTCAGGGAGCCTAGGTGGCTCAGACAGTTAAGCTTCCGACTTCAGCTCAGGTCATGATCTCATGATTCACGAGTTGGAGCCCCGCGTCAGCCTCTGTGCTGACAGCTCAGAATGTGTGGAATCCCAAGGGGTCTGAGGATTCTAAACTTGAATCTACGCTTGCAAGTCTGTTAAGGTAGGAGGAGAGAGCATATTTTATTTAACAGTTTATTAGCTTGATTATAATAAATATTTACATATATGGGATGGGCCTCCATTTATACTCTCGCCCTAGACCTGTACATTTTAAGCACCGATTCTGATTTCCAAATATCTTAAATTTCTTTCCTTCCTTCTTATCACATTCCCCACATCCCTCATACTACTCTTGCTGCAGCCCATCCCCCAAATTCTTCCCAGAAAAGAACACAGTGTCCAGCAGACTTGTTTAGCAAACAAAGTGTGTATTGTTTCTGAGAACTCAAGTTCTTGATCCGAACACATTAAAATTCATTTGTTTTGGAAACTCTAACCCTTACTCTCCTTAGAGTTCCACTTTTTCCTTATAGATGTGGAAGGCAGTCAGATTACAGGCATCTGCCAATTCAAGAACCCCTTCAGAGAAAGATAAGAAGGCCCACCTAGAATTTACTTCTCTTAGGTCTTAAAACAGGGAAGAGACACCTAGAGGCAATGTTTAAGTTAAAAGAGAGAGAAATCAAAATGGGGAGTGGATGACCTTTCCTCCCTTCACCTTCATTCAAAGAGAATGTAGAAGAGGGATCAAGGTGACAACATAGTGTTAGGGAAGAAAAGACTAGAAAATCTCTATGTCTCCTACAAAATAAGATTTTTAGCTCTGTTATCAATTACCAAATGTGCACAGACCCAGATTTAAAAAAAAAAACAGGCTGGTTTTGGAAAGATACATACTTGGCAAAATACTTTAAATAATTTCATTCTAAAACTATTATCATTCTTAAACCTTAAAATTAAATCCTTAAAATGAAATTACATTATATCCATGCAGGTATACAGATATTTTCTCAAAGCTGTTCAATATAGGTATGCAGAGGAGAATCAGAACATCACAAATTTAAGATTAATAAAAATTGGGACGCCTGGGTGGCTCAGGTGGTTGAGCATCCATCCAACTCTTGGTTTCTGCTCAGGTCATGATCTCCTGATTCGTGAGTCTGAGCCCTGCATTGGGCTCTGTGTTGACAGCATGGAGCCTGCTCTGGATTTTCTCTCTCTCTCTCTCTCTCTCTCTGCCCCTCCCCTGCTTGCACTCTTTCTCACTCTCTCAAAATAAATAAAGATTTTTAAAAGATTAATAAAAATTACTTTAATAATGATTGTAAAAACTATAGTGTGGTTGGTTTAGCAGTTAATGAGGAATGATTTTTCTTGATATTTTAGAAACTAAAGGACAAGAAACTCTGTAGTTTGTTTTTTAAACACATCTGTTATATATATGTAACATACACACACACACACACACACACAGTATATACACATACACAGTGCTGAGGCTACACAAAGTTACTTAGAGTGGATGTATCTTCTTCATGTCTCAGTTATCTAAAGTGAGACTAGAGGGGCCTCTGAGGTCATTTTCCCTCGTTTCCACACTGACAAAGAAAGTAGGCTCAGAGAAATCAGGTAAGTATCACATACAACCTGAATACACTGCCTTTCAA